GGGGGGCTTCCGGCAGAGGCCGGGGGACCGAGGTTGGGGGCGGGGGCTTGGGCCTGCCGGGGGACCCCGCGCTGCAACTCCGCGCGAATTTCGCTTTCGCTTTGGGCCGAGCCGGAGGCGGCGGGGCCGTCCCGAACGACTGCAGCCGGGTCCCCAGGAGTTAATTCGAAAGCGCCGCAAACCCGCGGGCCGGCCTGACTCCCCGTGTCACCGAGAAGCTGATGTAGAGAGAGACAGAGAGAGAGAGAAAGCAAGAGACCAGAGTCCCGGGAAAGTCCTGCCGCGCCGTGGGGCAATTATAAAAATGTGGCCCCCTGGGTCAGCCTCCCAGACACCGTCCCCCTGCTGCACCCACCGGTGCGCGTCCAGCTGCCCGCCCAGTGTCCCCGCGCTGCCGGCCCAGCATGCGTCCTCTGCGCAGTGAGTAACTGGGCGCGGCCTCGGGTGGGGAGGGGTGGCCTCCAGGGAAGAGGGGCAAAACTCGGGACTGGCTAAGGGGAGGCTGGAGGACAATTAGCAGTCTCCAGCAAAAGGGAAAGAAGTGGAGGGAGAGGAGGATTGGGCGCTCACCATGCGCTTAATAGGGCATTGTGCCCACTTCACAGATGAGAAACTGAGGCCCAGCTGGGAAGTTTGTTGCCTAAGGTCCCTCAGCTACAGTTACAAAAGGGTAGATCTCAGCCAGCTCCAAAGGGAGGCTTTGTCACCCCACCGTCTCCAAACCACTGGGTCCTATACTGAGTTAGTCACCTGGCCACTTGGCCTTGCCTTCACTTTTCAAAAAATGGGAGCTGTCCGTACACTCTGAGTCCAACACCATGTCGGAGCTCATCGGGGCCCTCACAGCCAGCTGGCTTCTGGCTCTAGAACAGAGTGCTGCCGTGCAATAGCTTGGGGCTGTCCGTGCACTCTGAGTCCAACACCATGTCGGAGCTCATTGGGGCCCTCACAGCCAGCTGGCTTCTGGCTCTAGAACAGAGTGCTGCCGTGCAATAGCTTGGCTCATCTCTCAGGTGTGGAAGGAAGGTGTTGTTGGAAATGGGGGGAGGGAGGCTGTCACCAAGAAGTGATGGGTGGGCAAGGATGGCCAGAACGGCTGGAAGGAAGAGGCAGGCCAACCCAGGCTGACCGGCTCAGCCCTCCCCTCACCTCCCTCCCAGGCCTCCTCCTTGTGGCCACCCTCGTCCTCCTGGACCACCTCAGCTTGGCCAGAAACCTCCCCAGGGCCACAGCAGGCCCAGGAATGTTCCAGTGCCTTAACCACTCCCAGAACCTGCTGAGGGCCGTCAACAACACGCTTCAGAAGGTGAGCTTTTCAGTGCCCTCTTCTCGCTTGGCAGCCTCTGTGCAGGAGGGGCTTCTCCCAACCCATCCACTGGTACCTAAAGGAACGGTGGGGGAATTGTGGGAGTTCATCAGTAACTGTCAAGGCAGGAACAGGGAACTTTACAAATGGCCCAACTATTAGCTAGAGTCTCAGTGAAATTGCGTCTGCAGAGAAAGCAAGAGTGGTAATAAATTATAATGGTGTTCACTGGGGCTGTGTCTACACAGAGGAAAGTGAATATTTACAGTGCTCCCTGAAGCCTGCCAACAGAGATGGAATTGTGTCAGTTTCTTGGACACCACTTGTCAACCCAGGAAACAGTTATTAGGTGTAGACGGCGCCTCAGAACCTACAAAGATGAATTAGATTTTGCCCTTCCCCCTGCTCGCAGCTTCCAGTCTGTTGACTTAGTCTGTTGTCAAAGCAGCACGTCCCAGGGACGGCTGTGACAGCACTTCGCCCTTCGTTTTCTGCTGCAAGAGTTAGCTACTTTCACTCAGCTTCATTCATTTTTTTAGGTTTCATATTTTAATGCAAACATTTTTTTTCCTTTTTAAAACTATTCCCATAGTTATTGCTTTTGCCACAAAGACTAAAGACCAATATTTTAAAAGATGTCCTTTTGCCTTCCTGCTCTCCAGTAAATCTTATTTTCTAGCTTATTTCCTTACGAATATGTTGAAATAAGCTCAATGCCACTAGGCCTTAAAAAAGTTTTTTTAAGTTTTTTTCCCTTCTAATCTTCCATAATCTACTGCCAATTGCTCCTCACGGTTCAATCAACGTTATTAAAAAGGAGGATCACCAAGGAAAATTGCAGAGATAAGTGCTTTGTTTCCCGAAGAAAGGTATAGCGTGGATAAAATGTAGGAACTCCAATTATGTGGATGCTTTATGGGAAAAAGCTAAGTCTTCTGCTCTCAGTTATAGTACTAAAGGTCAAAACGTTACAGAATTCAATTTGATATTTTTTATATCATTCCTTTGTCAAATTTGCTAGAACAAATCAACAAGCTGCCAGGTTGCTGCAGAAAACAGAGATGGCAAATGTATGTGATTCACAGACCTTGTCCAGCCCACAGATTTGTAGAGTTTCATCCATTTTGTTGTTGTTGTTGTTGTTGTTGTTGTTGTTTGTGGTTTTTTTTACGATTTTGAGTTTTTGGTTTGATGCCATTGAAAAATTGGACATCTCATATAAGATTTCACTTTTCTAGCTTGTTTCGAAAAGATCTGAAAAACTGGAACACTGGGGCCACATCAGCAAATGTAACTCTTTACAACCTGCTGGAATAGTGGTTGTCCAGGTCTGCTTAAACACCTCCAGAATGGTGTATTAATTTCCTATGGCTGCTGTCACAAATTGCCACAAACTTAGAGGCTTTAAACAACACAAATTTATTATCTTACAGCTCTGGAGATCAGAAGTCCAAAATGGGTGTTACTAGGCCAAAATTAATGTGTCAGCCAAGCTTGTATTCCTTTCTGGAGGCTCTAGGGGGGGATCTGTTGCCTTGCCTTTTCCTGCTTCTAGAAGGTGCACACATTCCTTGGCTCGTGGCCCCCTTCCATCTTCAGAGCCAGCAATGACTGGTCAAGTCTTCCTCATGCCGCACCACTCTGAACTGACTCTTCTGCCTCCCTCTTCCACTTAGAAGGACCCCATGATTACAATAGGCCCACCCGCACTGTCCAGGATAATCTCTCTACCTTAAGGTCAACTGATTAGCAACCTGAATATCATCTACACTTTAATTCCCCTTTGCCATGTCACATAACATATTGCCAGGTTCCAGGGGTTTGGGAGTGGCTATCTTGTAGGGCAGGGGCATTATTCTACCTACCACAGACAAAGATTTTACTACCCGTGCCCGAACGTGTTCTGCACTTTGAGGCCTTGACTCATGGCTCCTGCAGTTCCTTCTGCCTGAAATTCCCCTCCTGTATCCTTCAATGTTCTAATCCTCTTAAAGCAGATGTCCCATCTCCAGTGAAGCCCTGGCTGCCCCACATCAGCACCTTTGCACCCTTCTCAGCACGTCTTGCCTGCTGACATGTCTCCTAGTGGCACTTGCCTGTCTCCACAGTACACTTGGAATCTGGAAGGGCATAACACCGTCCTCTTGTTTGTCATGTTCTTAACACCTAGAGTAGTGCCTGGCACACATCAGGCTTGTAGAATGGAAACATGATCTCAATCTTCAATGTTGACTTCCTAAGATACATTTCATAATTCTATTCAACAATGCTTTTCAATATACTTGTAAGATGACATTTCTGTGTGTGTGTGTGTGTGTGTGTGTTTGTGTGTGTGTGTGTGTACTCCTAATTAAATCTCAACTTGTCTTTCTGGTTTGCATGTTTGTTATATCCATCAAGCTGTGACCTTAACAGTTCACCCTTTAGAAGTTATTCTTGAAAAAGATATTCATAAAACACAGGTGCTTTGGCAAAAGAAAAAAACTGCTTTCACCAGAAGCAAGTGTCACAGTGTGGTGTAGAAGCTGATTGGCACAGCCTGTTGAAATGATTTATAGTGTTTACATAATGGAAAAAAATGTCATCCAGAAAAACATGTCCTAAGCAAAGGGAGAGGAGGGAGGGAAAGCGAAGGGAAATGGCCTATTTCCTTTAATCTTATGAAGATACCAGATTTCCTACAGGTCAAAGAGACAGAGATCAAGGGAAGCCAGCTCCAGCTTTGCTGGATCCTGGGGAACCAGCCTCATGGGGAGCTAGGTGCCTTATTTATACTATCAACTGAATTTCTCCTTATGTTTTTTACAGGCCAGACAAACCCTAGAATTTTACTCCTGTACTTCTGAAGAGATTGATCATGAAGATATCACAAAAAATAAAACCAGCACAGTAAAGGCCTGTTTACCACTGGAATTAACCACGGTACAGAGGATTTTTCTCCCAAAGCCTGTAATACAATTAGAACTGTGCATCAAACATCAATGCTTCCAAAAATGTGGATATTTCTGGTGTACATTATTATACAACTTTAACAGGCCTCACTTCAGAAGTTAGATTTGGAAAAAAATTATAAAAACAAATATGTTTTTTCAAACAATGTGAATATACTTAACACTCCTGAACTATACACGTAAAAATGGTTAAGATTGTGACTTTCATGTTGTATGTTTTACCATAATAAAAAAAAAAACTTTGAGATAAAAAGGCAGAAAGATTTATATTAAGAATTAATATCTTCGATATGTGATTATTTTTCCCTCTAGAATGAAAGTTGCCTGGCTTCCAGAGAGATCTCTTTCATAACTGTAAGTCAGAAAACTAAAGGTTTTACTCCATATGACGAAGTCACACTATTGATGTCTGATTATTTTTTCTTCTAGAATGGGAGTTGCCTGGCCTCTGGAAAAACCTCTGTTATGATGGTAAGACGCACAATGCTTTCTTCAAATGCTATGGAGAAAACGTTTTTAGCCCATCTCAATGGTTTCTTCCCCATTTTGTCATGCCTCCCAGACCCTGTGCCTTAGTAGCATCTATGAGGACTTGAAGATGTACCATGAGGAGTTCAAGGCCATGAATGCAAAGCTTTTGATGGATCCTCAGAGGCAGATCCTTCTAGATCAAGACATCCTGGCAGCTATTGATGAGATGATGCAGGTAAGGTATCAGTGAGAGCACCTTCTTCACCCTGAAGAGAGCCAGCCAGGGTCTTTAAGGAAGAGACGTAATATTAGCCCTTCCTGGATTAGGAGAGGCCTGGAATTCCCCATTTTGAAGCCCCTGCAAAACTGCATTTGCAGGGAGACAGGCTTGATGGCGCCCTCTACAGGAAGGGTGAGCATGAGCAGATCATGTGAAGAAAAGCAGCCTCCCATGTGTCAACCACATGGTAGGCACCAGGCTCTCTGCAAATGTTTTCATGCATTTTCTTATGTCATCCCCACAACAACCATATGGAGTCTGTACAAAGGAGGAAAGTGAAGATTGATGGAGTTAAACCACTTGTCCAAGGTCACACAGCTTGTAAGGGGCAGAGAATTGAAATACCTTCTAAAGGATCCCACTACACTTTCTTTCTCACTCACCTCTAAAGGCTCCAGGATATGCCTGCAAGAGGCCAGCATGCATATCTGCAAATATTGCTAGAGAAAACAAGCAGAGCTGGTACCTGGTTATGACCCATTTTGAACCAAATGTGAACAAAATGAAAGATTGACCTATCACCTGGGGACAGCCACAATGCTACTCATAGGCAAGAACTTGCTTTGTAATATTCTGGATCACCATAGCACATGATGCTAATACAAAACGTAGAAATAGTCACATAAGAGTGGGTGAGTGCCTTGGTGACCAGAACGTGGGGTAAAAATATGGCAGCAGAAATCATTATCTGAAAAGTGATTGGTTTACTGTTATTTCATTATTTATTTTATTTTATTTTACGTGTTCGTGTGTGCATGCCAAATTACTTGTTTGAAAGGCAGTGAACTTCATGCAAGTGTCAAAGAATGTTACCATCCAGAGAGTTGTAGTTAATATTTCATTTTTTAAAGACCAAGAGTCAGGCTATGTGGGCAACTGTGCCCAAGCTACTTAACCCTTCTGTGCCTTGGTTTCTTCCTCTGTGAAAAAGGATGACTTTACCTACCCTGCCATTTTTTAGCCTTTTTATGAGGAACACATGAAAGTACTGATCTTTGTGCAAATATAAGGTCTGTAATGTGGAAATGGGAAAAGGTCTGTAATGGGAAATCCATTGCCAAGTTTATTTATTTAATACAAATGTCATGTCTTTAGTAAATAGAACTGTTACTGAGAGAAGGTTATGATCAACAGCAATTTATCACCTCTCTGTTCTGAAAAAGACTGGGATTTTTAATGTAACATATATAAAAATCAATTAGATATTGCTGCAGATATCATCTCAACAGAATTGTTCCTTTCTAAAACGCAGCTCCCACAGATGATTTTCTAAATAGCCTTATGGGTCTTTTCAGAGCTCTCTGAAGATGTGCTTGGATAATGAGTGTGTCTTCCCTCAGGTTCTGCCTGGCTAGCTGGCTGGGGTAGACTTGGGTCGGATTTAGGAACATAGTGAGGAACTGAGTTGCAGGCTCTGAGACATGTATTGGCTTCACCCATATTTACGGCTGAATATTTTAATTTTGGAATATCATATATGTCGTGCTCAATATTCATTTTCTTAGGCCCTGAATTTCAACAGTGAGACTGTGCCGCAAAAACCCTCCCTTGAAGAACCGGATTTTTATAAAACTAAAATCAAGCTCTGCATACTTCTTCATGCTTTCAGAATTCGTGTGGTGACTATCGATAGAGTGATGAGCTATCTGAGTTCCTCCTAAAACGCTGAGATCCCTCCCAACCTTAAAGTCATTTTTATAAAAATTTGAACAGAAGAAATTATAATAGGATGTGGGTTAAGAACTGGGGAGGGGGAGGCTTGACTTGTTCTACTCAAGCTCGTACAGGAATCCTCCTGCTTACGTTTACGTTAACACACCCCTCAAAACTTGAAGGATGGGACTGTGACTTTCACATGAGCCCTCAGATCAAGTGTCTTTCACATTTACTATGGATAAGTTGTTTTTAAGTTTTCATGAGCAAATTGCAAAAAAGGGAATATATCCTCCCTGAATGTGTTTTTTCTTTCCATTTAATAGAAGAGCAAGAATTTATAAGCTATGTACTAAAATGTTGGTAGAAACAAACATTCAAACGTAATTTATTTTTAAATATTTATTTATATAATTATGTATTCATGAAAGCATGTGAACTAACATATTTATTTATGTTATATTTATTTAAATATTTCTTGTCAATGGATTTGTAAGATATCTTTTAAATGTTGTTCTAAAAATAAAATGATTAAATGAAAGTAATTCTCATATTTTTTCTGATGTGACTTGGAATACTTTAAGTTTAAATATGCATTGCAGGAAAACTGAAAACTGATGGAATTTTAACAAAACGACCTTGGAAAGAATGCCACAATATTCTCATTCATTTCCTAGTTCCCTTAATCTCATTTTTAAAGGGAGCCTAGTAGCACTAGATATGCTTTAATACAGGGGCAACTGAGCAAGTTATGGTTTTTGAGAATAAGCTTTGTTACTTTTGTTTCACATCTGACTCTAAAAGTAAGTTGCACATTAGACAAATACATCATAATATTCTTCAACTGGGAAAAATGTCACTAAGAGGTCATCTAGTTAAATTATTCCCATTTGTGTAACGCTTCACACACTGAGGGGGAAGTCACTTATAAATTCCAACCAGAGAAGCTCTCTGTTTTCCTAAAATTATACAGAACTTTTGCCTGAACCACATGGATAATTGCCTTGCTTTGGCTTAAAAGATTTACTCTCAATGAGCTAAATGTTCAATTCCATCTTTTTAATTCTCTAAACCATGTGAATTTCAAAAGATTCATGACTTAGTCTTTTCTGTGCTGCTATAACAGAATACCTGAAACTAGGTAATTTGTAAAGAACAGAGATTGATTTCTTACAGCTCTGGAGGCTGGCAATCCAAGGTCAAGGGGCTGCATCTGGTGAGGGCCTTCTTGCTTCTTCATCCGGTGGCAGAAGGCAGAAGGACAAGAGAGAGAGCAAAAGGGGCCAAACTTACTTTTTTTGTGAGGAACCCACTCCCATGATATGGCACGAACCCATTCACGAGGGCAGAGTCCTCATGGCCTAATCACCTCAGAAAGGCCCTCCCTCTTAACACTGTTACAAGGGCAATTAAATTCAACGGGAGTTTGGGAGGAGACAAACCATATTCAAATCATAGAAATTTGCTTAACACTACTATATAATTTCAGTACTTTGATAATCCTGTTCCTCCTTAATATAAAAAGGCCATAAAAAAATATTTAGAGTGACCCCCTTTCTTCAGTTACTCCTCCCCAGCAGATCCCAATCCTTATCCCTGTGCCCCAGGCAAGGAATATGTGTGGACACCCCAGGTCCTCCCCTGTGTGGCAAACTGATTCACTTTTCAGATTCTCAGTCCACTGGATATTCAGATAGAGATCATCAGAGGCCAGATCCCATCACATATCTCCTTTCTGGAACGATTCCTCTACAAGCTCAAATGATCTGCAAGTGGTTCACAGACCAGGGTTTCTTTCCTTTCAGGTGTCTAGTTTGTGGTTGCAGCAGCTTTGACTGTGGGAAGAATCTAGTGCGGCTGTAGAATTGCTGCCACTCCCCACTCGGAATGGCTACTGCTGGGCGTGTGGGCCCAGAAACAGGGAGGGGTGAGATTGTTGCTTCCATGGACTGGGTTTATACGGAGAAACACAAGTGTTACTTTGGTTCTAGAAATTACCATGGGATATGCTTCAAAAACATGACTGGCCCAAGAAACATCTTCACAACTAATGCCATTCTTTATACATTACTAGTTTTCCACTTCTTTTTTCTTCTAAGCCTGGGTCTGCTATTTATAAATGGTGTAGCATGACCTCATTGTTCAAACATTCCCTATATATTTCCTCTTCTGAGAAGTGAAGATAAAGCCAGAACCTACTCAAAGAATCAGAATGAGCGTCAAGTGGGACAACTCACATTTGAGCACTAGCATTGTGCCTGGCACATAGTGCACTGTAAACATTAGCACATTTTGAAAATTACTATTAGTCTTTGGGCTTGGCAACTGGGCCAAATTGGTTTGATCCACTTTACTACTATTTCCTCATCTCTGAAATTCAGAAAACCAGAGAACCTAGTTCACGGCATTATTGTGAGGATTAAATGACACAGTCCAGTGCTGGCAGCTGCTTGATATCAATTTATTAAAGCTATTACGTTTGTTTGTTTGAAGAGCTCACCTAAACCCTGAACTTCCACAGCACTCAGCATTTGGAGCATGGACACGATGAGAGGCTGCCTGGTGCAAGATGCAAAGGCAAAAAGGCAGGGTCCCTGCCTTCTGAGAACACAGGGCGGGGAGCAAAGTAACTTAGTAAGACCAAAGCCCCCATAACAACACTCCCCGGCCACAGCTGATTAGAGATTCATTTGACCGACAAATGAATACTTTATTTAAAAGGAGACAAACTGTGAAAGTGTTTATCACACCTGAAAATGATTAAATCAAAGAACTGACATGAAAAACATTAAGCTAGTGTCTTCCAGATTCCAAAGCTTGCTTGAAAAGAAAACACTTATAAATGTGTAGAGCATTCTCCCTTCTGAAAATGAAACTCCTGCCGCAGGTTAGAGCAAACAGCAAGATCAGACTTCTGCAGAATAAAGATGATTGACTAACCAGATTTACATCAGGATTGGAACAAATTAGATCTAAATCCACCAGAGGGTTTCAGGGTGGAGCTGGAGGTCCCAGCTAAGAATCAGAAAGAAACTTGGAACTCAGAGCCCAGAATTAAACCCCAGGGCATCTGATGTATTTTAGCATCAGCAGCTGCAGAGCCATAATCAGAACTTCCCAATTCCTGGTATGTGGGCAGCGAGGCCAAGAACTCCTGTCACCTGAAACACACAATCCCAGCAGTAAATCCCTGGTTACCCAGCTGGGGTCAAGCACTTCAGCAAGCCATGTGCTGCTCACCCAAGAGGGACTTCCAGAAAACAGGCAACAAGATAGGCTGACTGCGGAAAACTGCCATTCTCATAAGAACACATTTGACAATTAGCAAACATGGTGGCCTCTTCAGAGAGTGGAGTAAAATGTGTGTTCGCTTAAAAAGCAGGGTAGGGGGCCAAGCCCATGGCGCACTCGGGAGAGTGCGGTGCTTGGGTACGCAGCAGTGCTCCCGCCGCGGGTTCGGATCCTATATAGGGATGGCCGGTGCGCTCACTGGCTGAGTGCAGTGCGGCCGGTCTCAAAAAGGACAAAAAAAAAAAAGCAGGGTAGGAAACTTTTCCCCTGAAGCAATACGGCAAAATAACCAAATAAGCTCCATGATGTGCAGAAAAAGACCCTGTAAAGAAAGATGTGCAGGTGAAAACTAATATGAAGCTCCCTGAATTTAAATAAAAACACATCTTCCCATCCCTTTTGGGGAGTAAACTGTAATGATTCCTTAAGTGAAAGGGTTAGGGAGACTTACAGGTTGTTCCGACTTGTGCAAACACTTGGGTGAACTAGTTGACTATGGTTTACACTCAGCTTCAGTCCAGACACCAGAGAGCTCGGATGAAAACCAGCTGTTGCCCAGAGAGCCAAGGGAATAACAATCAAGTAACAGGATGCTTTAAAAAATGACTTGTACATAAATAATAGTACGAAAAAGACATGAGCACCATCAAAATGTTGCTCTATTTTTCTTCCATTCATTGTAATGTATGGCTTCTTCAAATTAGTTACACAAAACATATCCAAAATGTTACACGCACAATGCCTGTTAGCAACAACCTCTATATGCACCAAAAAACACATGTCACAAGTTAACAAGAGCCAGCGTGGCCCAGCATTCCCTGGGGCGAGTCTTCTTCAAGAAGAGAAGACAGCTTCAGCAGCACCAAGGGAAGACTGTGAGTAGTGCTCTTCACTTCCCCCCACAAAGTCAACGATCCCAGGGTGAAGCCTAAGTGATTTCTTGCAGAAGGTGGTGAAACTCAAAGGGACTCTCTGCACACCCGGTTGAACTTCTCCAGTGACAGAAGGAGACTGTCTCTGAGCGTGCACACCAAGGGGGCCACTGCAGGGGGCAGAGAACCACAGTCCCTCTAATCCTTTGAGGCTGCTGCATCTGAAGACTGGAGGGTGGGAAACCTCAGCAGCCCTCCTGGAAGAGCAGGCCCCTCGCCTACCACGTCTGAAAAGCATCCAGAGATCCCAAAGCTGTCACTGTTGATGTAACCTTTTAGGACCTTTACACACTTGCACATTCTTTAAGGGATGAAAAGTCTAAGAAGAATTCCAAAGGCAGGTAGAACCTCTCCTGGACTTACCCAGGATTCTGAGGAGGAACACCACATTCGTATCCATGGTAACAGTATACAATAACCCAAGTTTTGAATTGGTTTGAGGTCGGGTAAAACAACGTGCTAAGTCCAGCCACACACTAAAAATGGTGGTGACGGGACAGAGTGCTTAAGACAAAGGAAGGAACCTGTGGCTTTTGGACCAAGACCAGAGACAACGGCCTCTGCCCTCTCTGGGCTCTGCTCTCTCCCTTCTCTTTGCCGCGAGAGCGTCACAGGCGCCACCCAGTGGACCCCGGGCACTGCTTCAGTGCAGGGAAGGCCCCGAAGGCTCAGTGCTACCTCATGTCTCAAGCAGCAGGAGGACATCGTCTGCCCCTCTCTGAGCCTTACTGCCTGCCTGATACATTACCTACTTTATCTCCTTTCATTCTCAGCACAAGCTCAGGACACAGGAGCTTTGTGTCCATTTGGCAGATGGGAACAGAGAGCCTTAAAGTTAGGTGAAGAATTTGCTTACAGTCACAGAGCTAGCTAGCACTTGAGCTGGGAGTCGAACCCTGCCTCTGACTCCCCTGCACCAATCGTCTTTCCTAAGGTGACGCAGCCCCCAGCTCACTGCTGCATTTGCATAATTCTCTGAACCCGAGCTTAGAAATAACCGAGCAGCACTGTCTGTGGTAGACATTGGCTATTCCCAAGACGCAGCTTGATCCCAAGTAGAGGACTAATCGAAATAAATTCTGCTCACCTTCCAGCCCACCTTGGACTTCCACAGAGATGATGTCTTTCAAGCAGTTACAGTACATAAATTCTGGGCTGTGGCATTACTTTGCTCCTTTTCTTGCCACTTCCTCAGCATCCTAAACTTGCAGGTGGGAACATCTTCTGTCCTCTCCCTGATACCATCAGTATCAGTCATCTTCACTCCAGGTCAGCAATGGCTGCTTTTATACACTCTTCCTTTCCCCAGCTTCCCAGC